CACCTATAAGTTTTCTGAAGTTAGTTATCTATTAGCTGTGTGACTTTGGACAAATTATTTAACATCTTAGAGAAGACAGACTTTGTGATTTGTGATGAGCCAAATTAATTGCCCTGAAGGGGTGGCCTGTCCCTCCACACCTGTGGATGTTTCTCCTTAGGTGGACCGAGAGACCTGAGAAAAGAAATGAGACACAGAGACAAAGTATAGAGAAAGAAAAAGTGGGCCCAGCGGATGGGTGCTCAGCATACAGAGGACCCATGCTGGCACCGGTCTCTGAGTTCCCTCAGTATTTATTGATCATTATCTTTACAATCTTACAAAAAGGGAAGTGGCAGGATAATAGGATCATTGTAGGGAGAAGGTCAGCAGTAAGACAAATGAATAAAGATCTCTGTGACACAAGTTTAAGAAAAAGTGCCGTGCCTTGATAAGCATATGTAAACATCTCCATAAAACTTTTTAGTGCATGAAGAGCAGCATTGCACTAGCAAGTCCCACGTTTCGCCCTAAGGCGGTTTTCTCCTTTCTCAGTAAACAGAACATACAATCGGGTTTTACACCGAGATGTTCCATTGCCCAGGGACGGGCAGGAGACAGATTTTTTTTCTATCTCAACTGCCAAGAGGCCTTCTTTCCTCTTCCACTAGTCCTCCTCAGCACAGACCCTTCACGGGTGTCAGGCTAGGGGAAGATCAGGTCTTTCCCTTCCCACGAGGCCATATTTCAGACTCTCACATGGGGAGAAACTTTGGACAATACCTAGCTTTCCTAGGCAGAGGTCCCTGTGACCTTTGGCAGTGTACGTGTCCCTGGGTACTCGAGATTAAGAGAATGGTGATGACTTTTAACCAGCATACTGCCTTCAGGCACTTGTTTAACAAAGCACACCCTGCACAGCCCAAAATCCGTTAAACCTTGAGTCACCACAGCACATGTCTCTTGCAAGGACAAGGTTGGGGGTAGGGTCACAGATTAACAGCATCTCAAATACAGAACAAAATGGAGTCTCTTATGTCTACTAGTTTCTATTTTTTTTTTTTTTTTTTTGAGACGGAGTCTCGCTCTGTCGCCCAGGCTGGAGTGCAGTGGCGCCATCTCGGCTCACTGCAAGCTCCACCTCCCGGGTTCACGCCATTCTTCTGCCTCAGCCTCCCGAGTAGCTGAGACTACAGGCGCCCACAACCGCGCCCGGCTAATTTTTTGTATTTTTAGTAGAGACGGGGTTTCACCGTGGTCTCGATCTCCTGACCTTGTGATCCGCCCGCCTCGGCCTCCCAAAGTGCTGGGATTATAGGCGTGAGCCACCGCGCCCGGCCTACTTCTTTCTATATAGACACAGTAATAGTCTGATCTTTCTTTTCCCCACATTGCCCTTAAAAAGTCAATAATGTTCAGAAGAATAAAATAGAATTCTGAAAATCCATAATCTTTCCTAATGTCCAAACACCATCCAAAATTGCTTCATATAAGAAGAATCCCCAAAACATGACCCGTCTCAAGAGAAAAGACAAACAGCCATGATCAACCCCATTCCAGATGCTGGAATTAGCAAAGATGTCAAAGCAGCTATTATAACTATAGTCAGGGGCATAAAAGAAATAAGCTGGATAATCAGGGCAGACTTTGCCACCGACTAGTTTTGTATTTTAGTAGAAGGGTTTCAATTTAGAAAATGACGATTTGTTGTATCGATCTCTCAGCTCCAAAGTGCTGGGATTACAGGTGAACCAGCTCAGGAAGGAAGAAATATTGAAAACAAAATGCTATAAATATAAGATTTTTCTCGGGCGCTTTAGCCAACCCAGGTTTAGTACCAGCGGTGGATACCTAAGAATGAAGGTGAAACATCTTCAGATTAAAGAAAACTGACAGAATTTGTTGCTATCAGATCTACTACAAGCAATCCTAAAGGAATTCTCAGGCGGATTGATAGGATAATGGTGCAACTCAGACTCAGGAAGGAATCGAAAAATAAAAAAAAAAAAGACTTTTTCTCTTAATTTTCTTAATTTCTTTAAAATATAACTGTGTGAAGAAATGATTATAACATTTCATTATAGAGTTTAGAATGATACCAATGTAATACCTATGAAAATTGAAGCAGGGGGAATGGTAAATGGAGCTATATGATTGCAAGGTTTACACTTTTTTGTTTGTTTGTTTCTGAGATGGAGTCTTGCTCTGTCACCCAGGCTCTTGGAGCGCAGTGGCACGATTTTGGCTCACTGCAACCTCCACCTCCCTGGTTCAAGTGATTCTCCTGCCTCAGCCTCCTGAGTAGCTGGGACTATAGCTGCGCATCACCATGCCTGGCTAATTTTTGTTTTTTTTAGTAGAGATGGGGTTTCACCGTGTTGGCCAGGCTGGTCTCAAACTCCTGACCTCAAGTAATCCTCCCCCTTCAGCCTCCCAAAATGCTGGGATTATAAGTGTAAGCCACCACACCCAGCCAACGTTTATACATTTTACATAAAATGGTACAATATTAACTCTAAATAGACTGTGTGAGATATATATATATATGTGTGTGTATATATATATACTTAAATCTCTAGAGCAACCACTCAAAGGGGATTTTGAGGGGAGCTATGCATCTTTCAGTAGTTTCTAGTTTCACATCCATATTTCTAGTCTTCCCACTCTTTTCTGTCCCATGCTGGACCCTGCCCTGATTCCTTTACTCCCTAAAATACCACCAACGAAAGGCCATGCGTAAGGCAGACGTCACTGAAAGTGGGGGGCGATGGATGATTCATCACGGACCACACAGTCAGCAACTTACAAACAACTGTTAGAAATCTTTTCTTTTTCCTTTTCTTTTTTTAAGAGACAGAGTCAGCTGGGTGCTGTGGCTCACACCTATAATCCCAGCACTTTGGGAGGCCAAAGCAGACATATCGATTGAGCCCAGGAGTTCAAGAGAAGCCTGGGCAACATGGCAAAACCCCGTCTCTATAAAAAAAAACACACACACACACACAAAATTAGCTGGGCATGGTGGCACATGCTTGTAGTTCCAGCTACTCAGGAGGCTGAGCTGGGAAGATCACCTGAGCCCAGGGAGATCGAGGTTGCAGTGAGCTATGATCACACCACTGCTCCCAGTCAGATGATAGTGAGACCCTGTCTCAAAGCCAAAAAAAAAAAAAAAGACAGGGTCTCACTGTCACCCAGGCTGGAGGGCAGTGGTGCGATCATAGCTCACTGCAGCCTCGAATTCCTGGGGTCAAATGATTCTTCTCCCTCAGCTTCCCAAGTAGCTAGGAATACAGGCATGCCACCATACCCAGCTAAAGAAATCTATGTTTTTAGAAGTCTTCAGTCACCAGGCCGTCAGAAATTTCTCTCTGATCTACTTTATTTCAGCTCCCCTACTACCTTGCCCCGTGCATTTGCCCTCCCTCTCTTAAGAACTTTCCACAATCTTCTTACCTGTCCTTTTGAGCAACATGACTTTCTGTCCACTCAAAGCCCATCCTGGCCATGCTTTAGTGGTGGGGAGGTGCCATTGCTTCACAACAGCCATGGCCCTTAAGATGTTCTGCTACAAAAAGACAGTTTTCTCTCTGAAACATTCCACTACCAGCTTTCTTTTTTTTTTTTTTTTTTTTGAGACGGAGTCTCGCTCTGTAGCCCAGGCTGGAGTGCAGTGGCCGGATCTCAGCTCACTGCAAGCTCCGCCTCCTGGGTTACGCCATTCTCCGCCTCAGCCTCCCGAGTAGCTGGGACTACAGGCGCGCCACCTCGCCCGGCTATTTTTTGTATTTTTAGTAGAGACGGGTTTCACCGTGTTACAGGTGTCTCATCTCCTGACCTCGTGATCCCCATCTCGCTCCAAGTTATTAGCTGAGCCACCGGCCGGCTTTTTTTTTTTTTTTTTTTTTTTTTTTTTTTTTTTTTTTGAGACGGAGTCTCGCTCTGTCACCCAGGCTGGAGTGCGGTGGCCGGATCTCAGCTCACTGCAAGCTCCGCCTCCCGGGTTCACGCAAGCTCCGCCTCCCGGGTTCACGCCATTCTCCTGCCTCAGCCTCCCGAGTAGCTGGGACTATAGGCGCCCGCCACCTCGCCCGGCTAGTTTTTTGTATTTTTTAGTAGAGACGGGGTTTCACCGTGTTAGCCAGGATGGTCTCGATCTCCTGACCTCGTGATCCGCCCGTCTCGGCCTCCCAAAGTGCTGGGATTACAGGCGTGAGCCACCGCGCCCGGCCACACTACCAGCTTTCAAACCCATTTTTCTTTCCTCCTACATAGATATACCACCAAGCTATCTCCTCCCTTCTCTATTAAACAGAGCAAATGAGCTCGAATCCAAACTTGCATTGTCCACTCATCCAAGTCGAACAAGAGCCTTGGAGGCATCCAAACCCACCCTCAATAGCTATTGTTATGCAAGTATGCTGCCTGGAGTCCCACACCCCACCTCAAGTGGCTTATGTGTTCCCCCAAAATATGTATTTATTAAGCACCTCCTACATGTTAGGCACACAGTGCTTGTCATAACATCATAATATTATATATATATAACTCTCCATAAGAAGGATTTTTTTTTTTTTTTTGAGACAGGGTCTCACTCTGTTGCTCAGGCTGGAGGGCAGTGGTGTAATCACGGCTCACTACAGTCTCATCTTCTGGGCCCAAGTGATCCTCCCACTTTAGCCTCCCAAGTAGCTGGGACTACAGACTCACGCCAACACATTTCACTGAGTTTTTTGTAGTTTTTGTAGAGACAGGGTCTTGCTATGTTGCCCAGGTTTGTCTTGAACTCCTGACCTCAAGTGATCTGCCCGTCTTGGCCTCCCAAAGTACTGGGATTATAGGAATTAGCCACTGTGACTGGCTGTTTTTCTTTTTCTTTTTTTTTAACATTAAACTAAGATGGATTTTTCTAAAAGCCACTAAGAGGACAAAAAATACCATTTTTGTATCATCTCCTTGTCACTGATTAACCCCAGGCCCCTTTAAGGTTACTTAAAGAAACCCAAGCTGACTGTAAAAGCTTTGTGCCAGTCATCTATTGCTGTGTAACAAACAGCTCCAAAACTTAAAACAACGACAACACTTATTTTGCTCACAAATCTGTAACTTGGGCAGGGCTTGTTGGGGACAGCTTGTATCAGCTGCACTCAGCATCACTGGGTGTGCTTGAAAGTTGGGGGCTGGAACCATCTGAAGTTTCATTCACTCCCTAGTCTGGTGGTTAATGCTGACATCAGTGGGTACCTCAGTTGAGCTGAGCTGTGTGCCTGCAGTGACAATGACACTGATGTATGGTTTTCCTGGATGACTCTCTGGCTTCTTCACAACAGCTTTGGCTGGGTTCTAATAGCCAGGAGAGAGAGACAGAGAGAGAGAAATGAGAGAGAGAGAGAGATGAGAGAGATGAGAGAATGAAAGAGTTCACCAGCTGGAAGCCATATCGCCTCTTATGACCTAGCCTCTGAAGTCGTGCTGAAGCATTTCTGCTGCTTTCTACTTGAAGCAAGCCCACATTCAAGGAGGAGGGAATTAGACTCCACCTTTTGATGGGTGAAATGTCGAAGACCTTGCAGGTATGTTTTAAAATCCCACAGCCTTGAAGAGAAATGTTGATCATAATGGAAAGTTTTCCTGATGGGCAGTAATGAGAGGAAAATCATACTATACAATCTACAGAAAGCTTCTCTAAAATCCTCATTACTCACTTTTCTCCTAAAGGACTTCAGGGCAGCCCAGCCACCCCACTCTCCTCTCTGTACCCATTCTCCCTCACATTCCTCTCTGTTCTAGTTCACGTCCTCCCAGGTTTATAAAGTGAAATTGAGACTCACACCTTTTTTCCTTTCTCCATGGTCCATGTCCATTGATTTCCTCAAATGAACCAACAAGGCTTTTCCTCCTTAGGAAGGTGGGAGAAGGTAGGTTGCCATGCTAACGTTTTTCGTGTGTGTGTGTGTGTGTGTGTGTGTGTGTGTATACACATAAACACATCTATGTATTTGAAAATAGGCCGGGCACGGTGGCTCACGCCTGTAATCCCAGCACTTTGGGAGGCCGAGGCAGGCGGATCACAAGGTCAGGAGATCGAGACCACAGTGAAACCCCGTCTCTACTAAAAAAAATACAAAAAATTAGCCGGGCGCGGTGGCGGGCGCCTGTAGTCCCAGCTACTCAGGAGGCTGAGGCAGGAGAATGGCGTGAACCCGGGAGGCGGAGCTTGCAGTGAGCTGAGATCAGGCCACCGCACTCCAGCCTGGGCGACAGAGCGAGACTCCCTCTCAAAAAAAAATAAAAAAAAATAAAAATAAAAATGAAAAAAGAAAGAAAATAAACCCAGTCATTTTAACTTAGTAATTATATTTGCAAATTAACCCCATAATTTTAGTAGACTATACGTTTTTATATGCACATAACCCATGAATATAAAGAGATGTGCATAAATGTACAGGAAACAGGGCACCCTTGAGAGACCTTAATGAAAAGTCCATTTACAGAGGTGCAGGCAGAGTTAAGAGAAGTAGCAGGGATGTGGAGGCGGCCAGGGACTAGCAACAGCAGGAAGCCATCACCTTCCTTAGATCTGAAGCGGGATAGGTATGACATTACCCAAGGTGGTGGTAGCCAGACCCCAGGAAGACTGACCCCTGCTAGAAGCTGCAGTCAGAAAAGAAACCAAGAACAACTGAGAGGTTAAAAAGTTGTAGATTAAAGTTATTTTGACCTCTCTTTTCTCCTGCCTTTTTATCCCCTACTGGTTATTCCCTTTGGTCAAACCCAACCAGAATCCGGAGGGCAGGTGGTGTTATTGTCCTCCAGGGCTCAGCCTCCAGCCCAGAGCACATTGAGAAGAACAGACAATGGACAGGGAGGAAGAGGGGCAAATGGAGAGTACCCAGCACAACTTGTTTAAAAATGAACAAGATCATCTTTTGATGGCAATTCTTTCTTTCTTTTTTTTTTTTGAGATGGAGTTTCACTCTCGTTGGACAGGCTGGAGTGCAATGGTGTGATCTCAGCTCACTGCAAACTCCACCTCCCAGGTTCAAATGATTCTCCTGTCTCAGCCTCCTGAGTGGCTGGGATTACAGGTGCCCACCACCTCGCCCAGCTAATTTTTGTATTTTTAGTAGAGACAAGGTTTTACCATGTGGGTCAGGCTGGTCTCAAACTCCTGACCTCAGGTGATCCACCCGCCTCAGCCTCCCAAAGTGCTGGGATTACAGGCGTGAACCCCTGCGCTCAGCCAACTCTTTCAAACTGTACATACACTGGGAGTAAAAGATGGTGGGGGGCCACATGCCCAAACAATGAAGAAAAATAGATAGTGACAGCAATTGGCATGACAGTCATTGTTAATTGCAAGTCCTGGCATGACTTACCCCAAAGTAATTTATTTTTGGCTTGGAAAACAGAATGGTTTTTATAACAGATTTTTCTAATTATGTTTTGCTTATGTTAATATGAGGGTTTGACTCCCCAAGTAAATACCACCTGATCACAAAGCAGGATGGCTCAGAAGCACACTGAGCACCAGGTGGAAGCCAGGCTGGGATTACACAATTTGCTGCAGACGATGCAAAAGTATCTGGAACTTTTTGCTTTTAATGTGTGGGGGCTGCTCTCTCCAACTCATTTGTAAAAGTACTAAGGGCAGCTACTGTATCTCACGCTTCCTCTCGATTCCTCAAAGATAATAATACTCAAACTTTTCTATGCATAAAAATCACCTGGAGAACTTGTTACAATGCAGATTTCTGGGCCCTGCCAGGATGATTGATTCTGTTGGTCTGGGTGATGCCTCGGAATCTGAATTTCAGCAAGCACTCCAGGTCCTTCTCATGCTGGTATTCAGGCCATCACATTTGGAGAAACATCACTGAAAGCATTAAACACATGGATTCATACTCAAAAGAGGCAAAGTGCTGTAACAGATGAAGTGGGGGGATGATTAAGAGCCAGAGCTGGGTTCCAATCCCAACTTTGCCATGAATTAGTTGAGGCAGCTTACCTTCCTTCTCTGATAATCATTTGCAAGAAGGGTAATACGTAGACTTCGGAGTCATTGGGAAAATTGGAGGTAGCAAATGAAAAATAAAACTCGGGTGAAAACGTAGTGGCTTTCACTATTTGTACCGAGAAAGTTCTTGGGTGAGTATTTCTCAAGGTAATTGGGCTCCGAGAGTCCTGCCTTCGAAGACCCATGAGGATGGCACCTATAAGATCAACTGGTCTGGTACCATCTTAGCATTGTTTCCTTGCAGTCACTGAGTGCCATCCTGAGACACTGTATTTCATAGATTTCATGTTTTTCAGGCTCACTCTTTCCTTGTTTCCACTTGTGAAATTATTATTCATCCTGCAGCATATGGACAACAGGTTTTTTACCCATTCTCTCTTGCCGTTGGCATGATACTATTCAACAATATAGTGTTAACAAAAAATATTAAAACTAGCTGTCTTAAATTTTTGGTTCTGGTTCATAATGTTGCATAATGAAAAGGAAAATCTTTCCCACAGTCCCAGTGGTGCGGAAACACTTAGAAATGACTCTAAATATAGACTCCCAAATGACAGAGAGGTTGTTTTATGTCATTCTGTGATTTCTGTTTCACAGCATGTTCTATGTGCTGGAATAAAAATTTTTAATGAAGTCAGAATGCTAAATTTAATGGAACCTTTGCTCTTTGTTCATTGCAAGATACATCATGTTTCCATGTAATTTGCTGTGCATCTTGGCATCAGGCCCCACACAGCAAAACAAAACTCAGACCTCATAATTCAATAGTTTTGATTATGCCCAGATGCTAAAGACCACTGCATGTCTTTCCTAATTTTTTACTCACTTGATTTTCAGTGAAAAAATGTAAAAATTGTCTCCAATTGTTCCTCTTAAATCACCCTAATTGAACATAAGAGTGATAATGTATGACTGGAGGAATATTTTACATAATGTAAGTACTAATCATAGGTGGCATATAATTAGCTTGCAATTTTTTTTTTTTTTTTGGTCAATAAATAGCATAAAAATACTGATTGAGGCAGTGGCTCACACCTATAATCCCAGCACTTTGGGAGGCTGAAGTGGACGGATCACTTGAGGTCAGGAGTTTGAGACCAACCTGGCCAACATGGTGAAACCCCATCTCTACAAAAAATACAAAAATTAGCCAGGCGTGGTTGCGCACGCCTGTAGTCCCAGCTACTCAGGAGGCTAAGGAAGGAGAATTGCTTGAATCCAGGAGACAGAGGTTGCAATGAGACGAGATGGCACCACTGCACTCCAGCCTGGGTGCCAGAGCGAGACTCCATCCCAGGAAAAAAAAAAAAAAAAAAAAATACTGACTGTTACAGAGAATAAATTTTAACTGCAAGTTGTTCCAAGCAGGCTATTCAAAACATGTACTTATAACTTAGGGGTATAAAATCTGTACTAACCTGTTAGTGACTGCAAAATCTAATCTAGTTACCAGACCTTTGCATCTCAAACTTAGGTGTACATAAGAATTATGTGAGGAGCCTGTTTTCAAAATGCAGATCTTTGGTCAGGTGCAGTGGTTCATGCCTGTCATTTGGGAGGTTGAGATGGGAGGATTGCTTGAGCCCAGGAGTTCAAGGCCAGCCTGGGCAACATAGTGGGACCCTGTCTCTATAAATAAAACTTTAAAAAGTGCATGTCTTGGGACCATTCATAAAGAATCTGATTCAATAGCTGGGGGATGGAGGGGCCAGGGGAGTTGGCAAAACCTAGGAACATGCATTTTAAACACCCCCCAGGTCATGCTGATGTAGCTAATTGAGGACTGGCTAGCCCATTCTCCCTACAGAGGCTCTTTCTTCCTTACTCGTACCTGTCCATTCTCTCACCTGTGAGCAGACACAGGTGAGCACCCAAGATTATGAAATTTTGGTGAGCTCTTGGACTTCTCTTGGGCTAAGGCCACATGACAATCTACTCAGGAATAAGCTAAATCCACTCCAATCCAGCAAGTTACCTATCTCAGGAATTGCTAGTACTGGTTGAAGAGATGGATGCCTTTGGGCTAAGATGAAATGCACTGTCTCGTGGGTTCTCTACTTGATCCTCACTGCTCTGTAGGTGGGGCCTATGTGTATCTTATAGAGGAAAAAACTGAGGTTCAGGGAGGTCAGGGCACTGGCAAAGGTCATATAAGAAAGGTAAAGGCCAGTCCTGATGGCTCAAACCTGTCATCCCAGCACTTTGGGAGGCTGAAGCAGGCGGATCACCTGAGGTCAGGAGTTCAAAACCAGCCTGGCCAACATGATGAAACCCTGTCTCCACTAAAAATACAAAAATTAGCCAGGCATGGTGGTGTGCACCTGTAGTCTCAGCTAGTCGGGAGGCTAAGGCAGGAGAATGGCTTGAACCCAGGAGGCAGAGGTCTAAGTGAGCCAAGATTGTGCAACTGCTAGGAAACAGAGAGAGACTCTGTCTCAAAAAAAAAAAAAAAAAAAAAAAAAGAAGAAGAAAGAAAGAAAGAAAGAAAGGTAGAGAACCAAGTCTCCAGGTCGTGTCTCCAATCTCTAAGCTTGTTCTTTTCAACTCCTTGTCAAGAGTTTGGTTGTATTGCCAGAATATGCAGAGATGGGTTAAGCATTTTACATTTAAAAAAACAAGAAATTACCTCTTGGTATTAATTTTCTATACAAGAGGAGATGATCTCAGTGTTCGCAGAACAGCAGCTACACAGGCAATGATTAAAATTCTGAGAAAAGTCTCCCTCAGTCTGTCTTCAGACAATGCTTCTATCTATGGTTAGGTATGAAAGTAGAAAGGTAATTTGGGGCCTGGTTCTCACACCTTCTGTCACTGGCCTCCCTGGAGCTGGTTGGTGGCGTTGCAAGGACTATTTACCAACAGGATTGGAAAAGTGATCTTCGCAAACCCCACTCTAGAATTTTCGAAACTGCTTTTTGTGCTTTTGGTAATGTATGAGTCTATCCAGCCTCAGCCACAACAAAAAGCCACAGAGTGGGTGGCTGACACAACATAAATTGATTTCTCACATTTCTGGAGGCCAAAGTCCAAGATCAAGGTACCGGCAAGTTCAGTTTCTGATAAGGCCTCCCTTCCAGGCTGATAGATGCCTGTCTTCTCACTGTGTCCTCACACGGCAGAGACAGCAGGAAAGAAATTTCTGCTTTCTCTTTCCCTTTCTTCCTCTTCTTCTTTTTTTTTTTTTTTTGAAATGGAGTCTTGTTCCTATCCCCTGGGCTGGAGTGCAATGGCACAATCTTGGCTCACTATAACCTCTGCCTCCGGGTTCAAGCAATTCTCCTTCCTCAGCTTCCCAAGTAGCTGGGATTACAGGTGTGCACCACCACACCCCGCTAATTTTTGTATTTCTAGTAGTGATTGGGTTTTGCCACGTTGGCCAGGCTGGTCTCGAACTCCTGACCTCAGGTAATCCACCCACCTCGGCCTCCCAAAGTGCTAGGATTATAGGCGTGAGCCACTGTACCCAGTCATCTTTCTTCCTCTTCTTATAAAGCCACCCACCTTTATGGCTTCATTTACCCTTAATTACCTCCTAGAAGCCCAGTTTCCAAATACCATCATAATGGGAGCTGGGGCTACAAAATATTAATTTGGTGAGGACACACAATTCAGTTCATAGCAGATGGATCCACTTAATTTCAGGAAAGCAGCTTTGGACACAGGCAAATAGCCAGCTTTTCTTAACTAAAGACAGAAAGTTCTATCTGAGAAGATGCCCTTCCAACCCTTTTCTGTTCTGTGGAGAAACGGACGCTTTATCAGGAAGTTAACATGTGTGATTACCAACCATAGGTGGGGCCCAGGAGACGCCATGCTGCTGAACCCGGTTCCACAGTGCTCAGGCAGAGTCGTACACAAGGTTGTATGTATGTGCACACCGCCTGGGGAGACATGCTGTAGCCACGATGGCTTCCCTGCTGTTTTGGGGACATATCAGGCAAGCTTTGGCCTTAGGACTGACTTAGACCGGGTTCCCTGGAAGCAGAGCCTGAGCCTGGGGTTTTTGTGCAAAGATTCTTTTGGGAGAAGTCTAGCTTCGGCCTGGACCCAGGGGGAGCTCTGGAACATACATTACTTCCCAGAGACGGTCCCTTTCAGGGGAAAGAGGATTGGACACTTGTCCCTGCCCCCATCAGTCAGGCATTGGTCTCCTCCCAGGCATGTCCAGGATAGGAAGCAGGCTGGGTCAGCCAATGGCTATCCTCTGGAGAGGGGGACTGGTGTGAGGCTTTAGCAGACAGCACCTCCCCCAACAACAGAGGGAGAGGGGACAGCGCTGCTACAGAGGAGCTGGGTGGGCCCAGTTGCACCTGCTATGGAGGAGCTGTTGCTCTAGCTGATCTCTCTGCCTGGGATGCTCTCCCCCAGATCACCTCATGGCCAACTCCCTCACCTCCTCAGAGCTTTGCTAAAATTTCACCATCTTCCTTTTTTTTTAGACAGAGTCTTACTCTGTAACTCAGGTTGGTTGGAATGCAGTGGCGTGATCTCAACTCACTGCAACCTCCACCTCCCGGGTTCAAGTGATCCTGGTGCCTCAGCCTCCTGAGTAGCTGGGACTACAGGTGCGCGCCACCACCCTCGGCTAAGTTTTGTATTTTTAGTAGAGACGAGGTTTCGCCACGTTGGCCAGGCTGGTCTCAAACTCCTGACCTCAAGTGATCTGCCTGCCTTGACCTCCCAAAGTTCTGGGATTACAGGTGTGAGCCATTGCACCTGGCCTTAAAATCGCACTTTCTCAATGGGTCCATCTTGGCCACCTTGTTGATGCAGAAACTGCACCCCAACCCACTCCCCATTACCGTCACCCAGCTCTGCTTCTTTTTTCCATAGAACTCGTCACCTTCTAACATAGACAATTTATTTCTTTCGTATGTTTTTTTGGGGGGTGGGGAGAGGGTTGTTGTTTTTTGTTTTTTTGAGACAGAGTCTTGTTCTATTGCCAGGCTGGGGTGCAATGGCGCAATCTCGGCTCACTGCAACTTCCACCTCCCAGGTTCAAGTGATTCTCTTGCCTCAGCCTCCTGAGTAGCTGGGATTACAGGCACTGCCAACATGCCCGGCTAATTTTTGTATTTTTAGTAGAGACGGAGTTTCACCACGTTGGCCAGAATGGTCTCAATCTCTTGACCTCATTATCTGCCCGCCTTGGCCTCCCAAAGTGCTGGGATTATGGGCGTGAACCACTGTACCCAGCCTGTTTTTTTGTTTGTTTGTATGTTTGTTTTAATATCATCTGTTTCTTCCGCCTTAGAATGAAAGCTCACTGAGGGCAGAGATACTGATATAGGCTTATCGCCCAGAATAGTACCTGGGATATCATAAGCACACCATGAATACTTGTTGAATTAAGTCGCAAATGGGCCCTGACTCAAAGAACAGAGTAAGTCAAGAGCTCAGAGAAACAGATTACATAAAAGGTTACTAGGCATGCCATTAGGCATGACTTGGGGCCTGCAGGAGGGGCACCACTGCCTCCAGGTATAATGTAATTTTTGGACCAGTGAATGCAAGGGTGTCATTACACTGTGCTCGGTGTGGCTGTTCAGAAACCGTCCTGCCCTGCACAGTTGCTCTACTTGAGGACTTACTAAGCTTGTCCTTAACCTTTTAAAATATGTCTGTCTCATTCTCCCACAGAAGTCTCAGCTTGGGCAAGTGGTGGCCACCCACCCCTATGATAATACCTTAGTTAGCAGAACTTTTCATCCAAAGATACGGAAATGCCAACATATGGAAATACTCAGATACCACAATGTTTCATAAGCACTAAGGGAGGAATGTTTAAAACTTCCTAAAAGAGGCTTCCTAACACTCAAAAGTTGAGTGACCCTGTCCACACCAACCTCCTGTCTGCCTTACAAAGAATGTCTCTTAGACAAATCCTGAAAACTCTTACCAAAAATATTATCTCTTGCTTGCTTTCCCCCCAAACAATTCACAGGTAATTTTCTATTCTTTGCCTAGACAAAATGGGCAAAGCATTTAGACAGACATTACCCCAAGAGAAAAAAAAAAAAAAAAAAGAATAACAAATATGTAGGAAAATCCACAATTTTACCCATAAAATGCAAATTAAAACAACAGTCAGATACTATCACAATCTATCAAATTAGCAAGAATTTCTTGTTGTCGTAATAACAAAACTGATAAAGCTGTGGTTAATGTGCACATTCTGCAATGTGAGTGGAAATGTGAAGTGGTAAACCCTTGCAGAAAGCTACATGGCTAGATCCTTAGAGGCTTTGGTATCTTCATCATCTTTGACCTTTCTTCTACAGTCCCTGCTAGGACCTTATCCTACCAAAAAATCTGAAATGCAGGGGAAAAAGCCTTTGAACTCAGCCATAGAGATTTCATGCAGGACTCACATGGCAGGAAGAGGGAAAGGGAGAGGTTACTTAGGTAAGCTAGCAACAGATTTTCTCAAAGTTTTTCTTTGGTTTAACGTTTTTTTTTTTTTGTTTTTTTGTTTTTTTTATTTTGAGACAGAATTTTGCTCTTTTTGCTCTCGTTGCCCAGGCTGGAGTGCAGTGGTGCGATCTAGGCTCACTGCAACCTCCACCTCCCAGGTTCAAGCGATTCTCCTGCCTCAGCCTCTCAAGTAGCTGGGATTACAGGCATGCACCAGCACACCCAGCTAATTTTTGTATTTTTGGTAGAGACGGGGTTTCACCATGTTGGTCAGGCTGGTCTCGAACTCCTGACCTCATGTGATCCACCCGTTTCGGCCTCCCAAAGTGCTGGGTTTACAAGTGTGAGCCACGGCACCCGGCCGGTTTAACTTTTTATCACAAGGATAACTCTTGTCACATACACTCTGTGGCCCAACAAACAGAATACTGGCATTTAGTTTCGTAATTGGAATTGCTGATTTGTTGTGTTTTGACAGTTGAGTCATGTTTCTAAAACTCATATTTTCATGTTTTCACAGCCTGACATGATTAGAGGGAAAGAGAAGTGGAGTTGGGAAGGGTCAGGACCCCCAAAATGTCAACTGCAGTGCTGGTGGCAGCTCCTTTCATTCCCACTTTCTTCTATTACCTGGGTTTCATCGAAACCTCTCTGGTTCTCACAGAAGTACGTTCTAGGGCAGGGTTAGACATGAGAGATTCACTGAAGGAGGTACCTGTGCAGGAAGATGGGGAGATTACAGGAGGAGGCTGGGAGAGCTGTCAGGCCATGATGCAGGTCTGACCCTGGTGAAGGAGAGAGGGAAGGAAGGCGAGGTAGAAAGACTGTCAGCATGCCGCACATTCTAACAAAGTTTGGGCAGGCCTGATAGACATCTGTCTAAGTCAGTTCAGTCTACTATAATAAGATAGCACATACTGGGTGGCTTATAAACAACAGAAATGTATTTCTCACTGTTCTGGAGGCTGGGAATTCCAAGGTCAAGGTGCTGGCAGATCCAGTATCTGGTGAGAACCCTCTTCCTGATTTGCAGACAGTAGACTTCTCACTGTGTCCTCACATGGTAGGAGGAGCAAGGCAGCTCTCTGGGACCTCTTTTATAAGGTCCTCACCTCATGAATGGGTGCTGATTGCATTCATGGGGGCTCTTCCCTCGTGACCTAAGCACTTCCCAGTGGTCCCACTTCCAAATACCATCACACTGGGGATTATGGCTTCAAGATATGAATTTGGGGCAGGGGCACAAGCATTCAGTCCATAGCAGCATTCTTGAGGGAAAGTTCATCAGAGGAGTCCCACGTGTCACAGGAGTCATTCTGCCTTAGCAGCCCTGCTGTGCTTCATCATTGGTTGGGAGCAGTGGTAAGAAATGTGGACACAGCTTGAATGTGGTGGTGGATTCAGAGCACAGCATCAAGGGCTGTCAGGTGATTGCATTTCCCCCAGCAGGAGATCTGAGAGATACAAGTTCAGGTCAAAACACAGGCTGTTTTTCATGAAGCAGGAGAAGGAAGGCACAGATTGGTAAGCTTGCAGGCTATGGAGTCCACAGGCTGGGTTGGAATCTGCCTACCTCTTACCCATCATGTGCCCCTGGGCGAGTTACCTGTCTCCCTGAGCCTCACTTTCTCCCTCTGAAATAATAATAATGGCCATACCTATAAAGCACTTACCGTGTGCAAGACACTGTTGTCAGTATTAATTCATTTAATCCTGGGGCACAGAGTTTAAGCAACTTGCCTAAGATATCAGAGGTGATAAGTGCTAGCATCAGAATTTGAACCCAGAACCCAGGCTACATTGTCTTTGTGAAGTAGAGCCAGCAATAGCACCAACATGACTATGCTGTTGTGAAAACTGAGAAGAGAACAATTATAAAGCATTTAGCCTCACACATTGTACACATTCAATAAATATTACTTTCTGTTACTGGCATTACTAATTATTATTATAGAAGGCACAGACTGAGTTTTTCTTTTTTTTTTTTTTTTTGAGATGGAGTCTTGCTCTGTCACCCAGGCTGGAGTGCAGTGGCCGGATCTCAGGTCACTGCAAGCTCCGCCTCCCAGGTTCAGGCCATTCTCCTGCCTCAGCCTCCCGAGTAGCTGGGACTACAGGCACCCGCCACCACGCCCAGCTAATTTTTTTTTTGTATTTTTTAGTAGAGACGGGGTTTCACCCTGTTAGCCAGGATGGTCTCGATCTCCTGACCTCGTGATCCACCCATCTCGGCCTCCCAAAGTGCTGGGATTACAGGCTTGAGCCACCGTGCCCGGCCGAGTTTTTCTTTAGTGGTTTTGAAGATACACACTTTTCATCCCAATGGTCTCTTCTGACAATAACTAGTTTCCTTTGTATGGTGGGAAAAGTGGATCCCACGGTGACAATGTAAAGTGATCCCACCTGCAGGCCTTCACCTTGCTTTGGCTCTACACTCATCAGATGTCTTCTGAGGATAATGTGTTCTGTGCACTCTCCCAACAGGGTAAATGGGACACACCATTGATAGCCTACCCAGCAGCCATTTCTTGCTTCTTCCTGCCTCAGAGAGACCCAGTTTCCTTCAGATATTTTTCTGGTTATCTATTGTTGCATCACAAACCATCCCCAATACTGAAAACAACAATTCATTTTCCTGTCTCACAATTCTGTGGCTGACTGGGCTCAGCAGGGTGGTTCTTGCTTGCGGTTTCTCATGTGGTTGCAGTCAGATGGCAGCTGGGGCTGGGGTCGTTGGAAGCCTCCACTGAGCTGGACATCCCAAGTGGCCTCTTCATTTACGAGTCCAGAACAGTGGAAACCAGCTCAGTATCTTGGTATCTCTCTCTCTCTCTCTCTCTCTCTCTCTCTGTGTGTGTGTGTGTGTGTGTGTGTGTGTCTTTCTCTTCTTGCTCTTTCTCTCAGTCACTTGCTGGCTCTCCACATGGCCTCTCCACATGACTAGCTTGGGCTTCCTCACGGCATGGTGGTCTCCCTGCAGTCAGGCTCTGTATACACTGGCTGGTTTCCCACAGAGCAAGCATTCCAAGAGACTGAGAAGGAGCTGCAAGGCTTCTTATCATCCAGCCTTGAACCTTGTGCAAAGACGTTTCCTCCGCATTTTATTAGTTACGTAGGAGCACCCCAGACTCAGTCCAGGGATTACCAGGAGACATGGTGTGGCAGACTGGGGGTGAGGGGAGCTTTGGAGAGGAGCTACCATGGATACCCCTTTCCCACTCAGCCACAGGCCTCTGGGGCAGCCAGCCTCACCTTCCAGCCTGAGGGTGAACCAGATGGGTCTAAAGGTGATGCCTCCTCCTTGTCAAGAATGAGCATGTGACCTTGTTTTGGTGAATGAGATATAAGGGGGATGTCTGCTGGGCTTCTGGAGAAAGTTTTCACATTCCTAAGAGAGAGTCTTCTTCCTCAGGTCATAATTGGATTTGAATATGTTTTCTGAGGCTGCCGCAGGCATTTTCCATCAGCCTGAGGATGACACAATCCCTAAGAAGGGCAGAGCAGACAGGTGGAAAGACCCAGAGCCCTGGAGGGCACAGTGTAGCCCATCCACAGCCAACACTGAAGTACACCCTACTTTGGGACTCTCTGTTATCTGGAATAATAAACCGAGACCGCGTCTCTCTCTCTCTATCTCTCTACATAAATATATGTGTGTGTGTGTGTATGTGTGTGTGTATGTATATACACATATATACACATAGGTACATACATATATATGAATGTATATGTGTATATATGAGTGATATGTGTGTGTGTATATATATGAGTGATACATATGTGTGTGTGTGTGTATATATATATGAGTGATATATATATATAGCGCTTAGGTTGGAGTGCAGTGGTGTTATCACAACTCACTGCAGCCTCAAGCTCCTGGGCTCAAATGATCCCACCTCAGCCACCCCTTAGCTCTCCTTTGCACAGAGGGCTGTACAATAGATGGCTGTCTGAATTTGGCCTGTGGGCCATATTTTGCTGATCCCTGGTTTAAAATGACAAGGAGTAAATACTACTGACACAAGATTGCTGACTTACGACTGCTCGTCCCTCTAATCCCCACTGTAAATTATCATTATAATTACCCACTGATGCTCAGGTTCGCAAAACTGCAGATTGTAACTTACTTTTATTCTTGCTTGAATGAGAGGATGAGTTTACCTTAACCTTAAAAGACGGTAATTTTTAAGATTAAGGTAATGGGTGTGAGGTGGGTGCTGGGCTTCTGTAAGAGAAGTCAAGACTTGCAAGGAGAAAAATTTTCTCACAGCTTAATAAGACAAAGGAGAGTCACTAGCAAGAATCAAAAGTGCTTATTGTCTTTTAGATACTTCCCCAGTACCCCACTTCCTGACCAAACCATAAAGGTCACTTCCTCTTGCCTCCAATACACACACCCTTAACTGAGAAAATGGATGAAACAGAGAATGGTTGACAACCTTAACCTTAATCGGGGTGGGGATCATGTTGGACACCAAGGAGATGGGGCCTTGAGGGAAGAGAGATAAAAAGAAGTAAAGAAGGCTGGGCATGGTGGCTCATGCCTGTAAATCCCAGCACTTTGGGAGGCCAAGGCAAGTAGATCACTTGAGACCAGGAGTTCAAGACCACCCTGGTCAACATGGAGAAACCCTGTCTCTACTACAAATTTAAAAAAAAAAAAAAAATCATCCAGGCGTGGTGGTGCACGCCTATAATCCCAGCTACTCAGGAGGCTGAGGCATAAGAATTGCTTGAACCTGGAAGTGGAAGTTGTTGCAGTGAGCCAAGATCATGCCACTGCACTCCAGCCTGGGTGACAGAAGGAGACTATCTCAAAAAAAAAAAAAAAAAAAAAAAAAGAAGTAAAGAAAATAAAACATGTAGGGAGGGAGAGACTGTGTAAGGGAGAGGGTGTGGCCTACTCCGCCCACCAAGGTGTGATTGAGGAATGCACCTCCCTGGTCTAGGCAGGCCGAGGCCCCAGGGAAAGCTCAGGGGTAAGTTGAAAAGACCATGGAAACCACTCCCGAATCTCCACCTCAATGTGGACTCTGTAAGGGCCCTCTGTAAGGGCTGGGCCAGGTCTCCTAAGCCTGAAGCAAAGGACAACTGAACATTTTCCAAGGCCCTTCCTGTGCTTCACAGGCTAGACCATTCTGCCCTGGACTGGACTGTCTCACACGCTTCCAGGAAAACGAGGAGAACCTCATGCGCAGGGGTTTCCCTGGTGTTTAGAGAAGCCATTTATCCATGCAGACTCTTTGACAAAATGAAGGGAGATATGCAAGGATTTCTAAGGAAATTTTAGCTGTGGGGAAGCTTCATAAGAAACTGAGGTCCAGTGTGCACTTTGGGATAGAAATATTTCCTTATGGAAAAGAAGAGGCTCAGAGACAAAAAGTTGGAGTGCATGGGACGTCACATGCCATGCACAGGGGCCAGTCCTGGAGCCCCATCTCTGCAGGAAGTTGTGTCCCTGGGCGGCTCCTCCTGATTTGGGGACCAACCTCTCAAAGGCAAAGTGCCTGGGCATTCAGATTTGCAGAGCAAGTTAGAAAGTTAGACAAATCGCTGTTCCCATTTTTGGCCCTTATAAAGACAAAATGTTAACTTGATACTAAAGCAAAATAGACCCATATCTCATGGCATACAATATTTATTTATTTATTGAATCAAAATCAGATTGCACTGCTGCATACTCTCTGGTTCTGCTGTAGGAGAATGTAGTAGCAGTTAGATATGCTGCAGAGCTATTCATATCTTGTGAATCATTGGAACAGTGCGTTTTCAAATGGTGTCCCTTCACTTTCCGTTTAGGGGGAAAAAAGGAAATAGTTCTATGACAACAGCCGTATTTTCTAATATTCTAGGTTTATTCTAATATTTCTTTTTTTTTTTCTTTTTTGAGACAGAATCTCACTCTGTCGCCCAGGCTGGAGTGCAGTGGTGCAATATCGGCTCACTGCAACCTCCGCCTCCCGTTGTTACCAGGGGTCCTTGCTCCTAGAGCTCCCAAGATGGCGGCGGGCCACTTCCAAGATGGTGGCAAGCCTCATGTTCTCTGACCTGGGGTTCTTGGCCTCACAGATTCCAAGGAATGGAATCTTGGGCCATGCAGTGAGTGTTATAGCTCTATTAGAAGCCGTGGGTCATGGAAGAGAACAGTGGAACCCAGTGACTGGTGTTCAGCTCGATTAGGATGAACCCAGGCACTTAGCCATGCAGGAACAAACACCAAAATTACGGGCCTTTAGCCCGATTGGGAGTGGCAATGGGTGCCTCGCTGGATCAGGAGCACAGCAGATACCCTGCTGGATCCCGAGGGATGGAAGTCAGCAGCGGGTCTGCCATAGGTGGCAAACAGCAGCGGTGGACGCGAGTGAAAGCTCAGCTCGAGCGATAACAAAACACAGATCAGAAGAGTGCAGTTGCAAGATTTAATAGAGTGAAAACAGAGGTCCCATGTAAGAGGAGGGGACCCAAAGGGGATCAAAGGGGATTGCCTTTGTGGACTCGAATGCCTGGGTTTATATCCTCATCCTTGTCTCTCCTGCTGTGCTCTCAGGCAATAGATGATTGGCTATTTCTTTACCTCCTGTTTTTGCCTAATTAGCATTTTAGTGAGCTCTCTGATTGGTCGTGTGTGGGCTAAGTTGCAAGCCCCATGTTTAAAGGTGGATGTTGTCACCTTCCCAGCTAGGCTTAGGGATTCTTAGTCGACCTAGGAAATTCCAGCTAATCCTGTCTCTCACCAGGTTCAAGCGATTCTCCTCCCTCAGCCTCCCAAGTAGCTGGGATTACAGGCGCCCACCACCATGCCGGGCTAATTTTTGTATTTTTAGTAGAGACAGGGTTTTGCCATGTTGGCCAGGCTGGTCTTGAACTCCTGACCTCAAGTGATTTCCTGTCCTGGACTCCCAAAATGCTGGGATTACAAGCATGAGCCACTATGCCTGGCCTATTCTAATATTTCTAGTTGTAATTTTGGTGTTATGATTTTTTCGGGGGTTATGATTTTTTGGGAGTTATGATTTTTTTAATTCAAAATTTCTCCCACCTGCAGATACTATTATTTAGAGCAGAGCTTAACTTACTTGGAAATTCATGAGATCTCAGATCCAGAAACTTATCCCAAGAAGCTTGGACATGGATTGCTGGTAAACACAAAAACAACATGGAGGGCAGAGTAGCCGGTTGACTCCCCCGTGTCAATATCTTAAAGTGGAAAAGCCTGACTTAGTGACTGTCATTTTTGTCTGCGCAGCCCTGGTCTGTTCTTGGGCTTGCCTGCCTGAATTAGTCTTGGGTGGCGAGTGAAAATAAAAGCCCAGTGTAAACTAGCTTAAATGACCTGTGGGACTGTGTTGGCTCAAGTCCTGGTAGGGAGAATGGGACTGGGCTAGTTGTAGGAGTGGCTGGAACCAAGGACTGTAACTCCATCAGGGCTCTTGGCTTCTCATCTCTACTTCTGTCTGTAGGATTGTTCCATTATTTTCAGATTGGCCTTTTCATGAGACAGGGGCCCTGGCCACCAGCAGATCTAGA